AGTATGCGATTCGAACTGTCCGATGATCCTGGAAGGTATGTGTTTCAACCATTCCAGTGAACAGATGACAGACCAGAAATGAAAAAATGCAACACTACACGTCCACTGAGGACAGTATATTTCTTTAGGCTGGGAAAAAACTAAATAAGCTGAGAGTGAATAACGGTAAATGCTGATTTCTAGGTATCTGTGCGCATATTCCTACTACATATCGTTGCGACATAACAGGCATCGCTCACTGTTCGTACACGTTCCCGAATTTGATGAATATTGTACGAAGGAATTTATCGCCAACATCATCAAGCAGATCATCCACAAATCCATGCTACAGGTCCTCGCACTCCGTGAAAAGCGATCCACAAATTCCGATGATAAGGAGCAACAACAGCAGCCTAAGCAAGCAGCTTCTGGGCAGTGATGGCTAAAGCAAAATTGCAAATGGGGCAGGTGTTATAATTTCACTGGATAGCTTCAAATCTTTCGATTTTAAGTTAAATTCGCCGCCAAAAATCAGCACCGGCTGATAAATACAGTTACAGTAATCTTCAGGAAAAAACACACACCCTTTTTTCTACGCCAAAAACATTTAGGATACTGAAATCTGCCAGTTATATGCAATATTTTGTTGTGCTTTTGGTTCGCTGTTGTATTCGATTGCTGCTGGAATCTTCTCCATCCTTATTTGTTTTGACTATGTTGTATTCACGTAAACCTAATGAGCGTTCTGCTATTTTCCTTCGTCTCATTGCTACCCTACCCGGTGTTTATCTCACTAGTAGCCTTCGCGCTGTTTGTTTATGCGACTTAAAATTTGTTCATGCTTTGTCTTTCATGCCTGTCACATGACCAGCCCAGCTCTTTTTTCTGATTTATGTTCCTTTGTTTACATAAATTGTGCTAAATTGGAACAACTGCTGTACTTCACTGGAAATGTAATTACTTTTTTGCAAGTAAGTAATGTGTATCCCCATTATCATTGGATTTCTCGACGCGTCGCGTTGTCGTTACATCGCCAGCTTCGATTCCCAGTGTTGCATAACAATCGGGAAGAAAAAGGGCAGCAACAGCATTAACAATTGCAGGAAACCGGAATTCAGAAGAACAAAAAGAGGCAAGAACGAAAAGAAGCTGGTAAAATTTATGCTTCGAATTAGTTTTCGAAATTCAGCGACCTACTGCACTAAGTCTTTGAAGTTCGTCGCAAAAGACCGAAGAACAAGCCGGAACAAAACCTGCTGCAAATTTACGATAGCACCTTCGCCGAACCATTAGAAAA